TCTCATTGCATATCATTCTATATCAACCACATCCTTCTTCTGATCTTAAAATAGGCTCGCTATTCTCTCTTGAATCCTCAATAGTAACTCTATCCTATTTTTGTTTGTGTCTTTGGTTGCACATATTTTTGTTTTCCATGGTCTCCACTCAAGATACACTTATCTACCCAAAGCTCTCAAATGTGTTTTACTTGGGCTATTTTACAGCTCTAAAGGGTTATCATTGTTTTTATCCTCAGCTACAACAAATATATTATTTCTGCTATTTATGGCTCTCAAATTGTGTTGTTTCTAGCTCTAGCCACAAGGATAATATTTATTTTGGCAGATTTTTGAGAATATGTCCCCTTCATTTTCTCTTTTGTTGTTTCTAGTGGCTTGACTTTACAGTGAAATCCTGTTGATTTCCTTCCTATTGTTTTGGCTCCAAATGTTGCTCTACTCGACCTCTCCTTTCCTTACTTACCAGCAAACGGTCTCAAATTTTAGAAGTGCTGTACTAAATCTTGATCCTCCAGCCTCATCTTTGACTTCCCTAAACCAACATCACACGCACCTCATTGAGTTATTGCAATGGTATTCAATCTTCTTGCAATCTTAATCCTCTCTATGGCTTATTTATCATGATCATTTACCTCCTTTGTATTTTCCTTTGCCTCTTTGGATTTTATGTCTATTCCTAAGTCTACAGGTGAAGCTATATGGCTTATCCTGGTTGGCAATTGGCGCCAGGTGATGTTGGATGAAATGGCTACTCTATATTCTAGTGACAGTTAGGACATTGTTCCTTTACCTCCTAACAAGATTAATGTTGGTTGTCGTTAGGTTTATGCCATGAAAATTGAACCTAATGGTAATATTGACTAAATCAAAACTCGTTTGGTAGCTAAGGAATATTTTGGTCTAGATTATGGGGAATTTCTACTTCTATGGCCAAAATCATTAACAATGCACCTAGAGGAGGGCTATTATATGAAAGTAAAGGTAATGAAATCACTTGTTACTTTGATGCTGATTGGGCAAGATTATTATAAGACAAAAGATCCATTTTAGATAGTGTTCTCATTGGAGAAACTTGATTTCATGGTGGGGTAAAAAGCAAAATATAGTTGCTAGATGCAGTGCAAAAGCTAAATATCGTGCTATAGCAATAGCTATATGTGAACTTACATGGCTTAAGCAACTATTCAACAACTAAAATTGGAGACATATAGGAAGAAAAACTTATTTGTGATACTCAAGTTGTACTCCACATTGCGTCAAATCTGGTCTTCCATAAATAAATCAAACACACATAAATAGATTATCACTTTATAAAAGAGAAGGTGCTTTCAAGAGAAATCACATCTAATTTTGTGCAATCTAATGATAAGTTAGCTGACATGTTCATTAAATCCCTTAGAGGCTCTCGTGTTGATTACATTTGTGACAAGTTTGGCTCATAAGAGAGAGTGTTGGAAAACAATCATCACAAAATAAGGGATACAATTAGATATCTCATTAAATGTAACTATAAATTAGAATTTATTTTTATTATTTTGTATTTATGATGGATTTTGTTGTACTATCTGCGTGATTATAAATATGATTTATGTGTGATCATATGGCACACAACATTCATACACTTTCTCTCTATAGTTTTATTGTCTGCCCAATATGATGCTGACTTTTATTCTCTCTTAGCAATTGAATTTAAAAATAGAAAATGTAAAATATTACTTTTAGTATATTAATGAATATTTTAATCCCTTAACAAATTATAAAATTCATTTGTAAAATTTTAAAATCAATAATGCAGGAAATTTAGTGTCTTTAAGATAAATCAAAATTAGTTAATGTTTTCATTGGATGGTAGTTGACGAGAAGGGGCATGAGCCTGACTACATGGAGGCCTTCCATAAGATCTCAATGGTCCCACTCTAGGAAAAATTGATTTAAATTTGAGTCCTTGGAAACTAAACCATTATCTAACTTGATAATTAAGGAAGGGATAACCATAAGAAGCATGAAAAAAGAACTACATTCATGGAAGGAAATATAACTACTCTGCAATTTTAACAAAACGGTCATTTTCTTTTCCATTTACAAAAAAGGCATCCTAATGTATGTTAACAACCATGAATTTTAGTAGATTACAGGTAGAAAAATCAAATATAAAATTGTACACACGTTAAATTCTGTTTAATGATTTTTATGTAAGAATAATCTTTTCTAATTTTAAAAATTTGTTTATTTATTTATTGTCTAAGGGGAGACTCAAATTAAGCCTGACAGGAGGGAGGGGGAGAAGGGATGAGGAAATGGTGGGAAAGTGGAGGAGCATATATAGTAAGGGATCAAACCCATGCACTCACAACTTTGCACGTGCAGGAGAGTAGGATGTGCATCTACTAAATATTTCTTTGCCAACTGTCAAGCAAAAAAGAGACTAAGTAAAAGATACTGTACCTCAAGCCATCTGGGAAAGCCAAAAGCACCTCTTGGGCTATAATCAGGTGCTTGTCCGTCATTCTTGACTATAGATTGGCCATCACAAGTGATCTTATATATAGCCTTATCCTTTGTACTTCTGTTTGTAATAAGCAACAACGAAGTTTCCTGGTTTTGTAGGACTATACTGTTTGGGCTAACAGTGGCTTCTGGAACATAGCATAAATCTTCAAGAATAGATCTGATTTTCTCATTTGATTTCATAATTAACCCAAACTCCTTTCTCCTTATTGATCTATCAACATGAGAAATCTTTACATTGAATTTACACCGGACAGGTTTGTGATCACTATCAGTCACATCCATGCAAGCATCATACCTGTTAAATAGTTTCAGTGATGACAAACTGTAGCCAATAGGAAAAACAGAAAGCAAAGGTGACCATGTAACGTACTGTAAAATTGATGACACAACAGGGCAGTCTAAATTGCATTCAGAAACTGGAGCTGACCGAGTATCACGATATATTATTCTGTCACACCAGGCAGGAATTCGCTTTTTCTCTCCAGAATCGTATCCTGAAAGAATATATGACAGTTGGGTCATTGTCATTTTTCTTACTTAGCAATAGTAACCAAGTAACACTCCATTAAGTGCATGCTGACAGCAGATCACACTAAAACTATCATGTTCATTGAGTTAATAACTTTTAATCTTAGATAGTGAGGGACCAAATGAATTCAACGTCTAACAAACAGGCACCAAAAGCAGCGCTGGACATGTCATCTATGTACCTCCTAAACCTGCTTGGTGCCTCTCGAATTTATATGTTGGAGGAAATTTGATAAGTGCTTCCCGCATTCCCTGGAAAACTTTTCCAGCTTTCATCTCTGCCCTGAGCTGATCCTTTTCTCTGAGCCAATCAAAGCATCTTTGAGAGACAAAGTCCCTGGCTTCATCATAAGATATACCAAAAAGCCGATAGTTGAAATCACCAAAAAATACCACCATATCTGCTTCAGATAACTCAGGTTTTGCTTCTTCAGCGCTGACACCCATAGCCTATGAAACGCACAATGAAGGCCACTGTTATATATAATATAAATAGGGAAATTTTGTATATAGAGAAATTATGTAATTATAGTCATCAAGTAATTAGCATGATTCTAAGCAACTGTAGATCATGTATTTATTGTATATTTATTGTGCTCTAAATAGTTAGCTCCACTGTGTATTTATTGTATATTTATTGTGCTCTAAATAGTTAGCTCCACTGTGTATTAAGACACGGATTCATCCTTTTCATCTTGTTTCTCTCATCTCTCTCAACAGCCACAAACTGTTATGATAAAGATATTGATGGAAAGGTATGGAGATGAAGATAATCAAAAGCTGAGTTGTTAGAATAAGACTCACATTTGTACCACGAAGCATATGAACAGCGGTAGAGACGCCAGCTGTAACAGAGAGGACCAATGGCAAGCCAGAAGAGTAAAGTAGCCAAAATAAATATGTGGAGAAGGCAAGAGAGCAAGACAAGAACAGGTATGGTACCATACCAGCTGCAGTATTAAGTAGGTTGGATGATCGGCTGAACACCATATTTCGATAAATGTGATCAAAATCAGCATTTCGCCGATTAACTGCTTCCAAATGTGCAGCCAAGTGACAATTCACAAAGCACATTATCCTATCATACACTCTGATTCTCAAACCCACTCCGCCCTGCTTGAACAATTTTGCCATGTAATAAGATTTCATTTTAATGAAGAGACAAATCAATGTTCGTAAGTGAAAAAAGATCATTAGCTCTTTCTTTTTTCTTTTTTCTTCTCAATCTAGTATTTGTACATGTAACGTCAATATGACTTACATACCAAAAAAGAATTTGAAAGCCCCACATAGCGGTAACTTATTGTTGCAACAGCAATTACTAAAGCAATAAAAAGAAAAGGCAATCTATGCCCCCTCGTCATTTCTTCCATGATCAATCTTTCATATGTACTTTCTTGTCTCATCACTGCTTTATCCTATTTAGAATTATTAATCAACCATCCTTACTTTCCTTTTCATTTTTGTTTTCTTTGCTGACAAAATAGTATGATTTGGTAAGATAGACATCACACAAAATAACACCCCTAATCAGCAATATATAAATAGAAATAATATGCCCAACTCCCTAACCATGATCAAGATACGAGGAAATCATATGAATGAAATTTCACAATTCGCTTTCAAGGGTAATCAGAATAACTAGATATATACATGATACAAATAAGTTATTACAGAGAAAGTTTTAAATGATTTGAGCCTTACCAACTTGAACTCCGTATTAACAAGTGGCTCAGATCATAATGACTGATAAACTTTAACAGAATGGTACTGCATTCCATTGGCATTACTAAGGTACCACATTCTTATAAATAAGTATTAAGTAGTCAGGGAAACTGATACAAACCTTATTACCAATTGCGCGTCCAAAACCACATGGGATTGCTCCAGCATCAATGTCCCCAACATGTGTTCTAAGATTCTTTCTTACCCTAATTGAGAAATGTCAACTCATAAGAATGGAAACAATATAGGAGATCTAAGATGCCTTTCCATAAAGAAGAAAACAGGAAAAGGAGACACTAATTGGTTTAATCTGGAACACAGTGTCATTACAATCACTCACCAAAGAGATATAAGCAAGCCAGCAAGCTGCCTAGAACCCATACGCTCAAAAGCTTTTCCTTCTTCTAAGGCCTTTCCTATTGTGTCTAGCCACCACTGCCCCATTGCACTTCCTTCAAGACCTACCTACAATTGTGATATAGGCGGTGAATGCATGGATAGAATTTGCACATTACATAATATAAGTTGTTCCAGAGATTTATATATACATAATACTTGATGAGAAAATACATTTCCAACCACTTGGAAGTATCAATACTGTACAGTAGTAGTAAACAAATAACTTTAAGTGAGAATTTAAGATAAACAAACATAAAGATGGATCAAGTTCCTTGTTTTGTTTTCAACATCAACTTTAGCAAACATAGTACTGTATGACACAAGTACAAAGGAAAATGTACAGACACTACAAAATTTAACCCATTTTAAACTTAGTATCAGGATAGTTATTATGATAGGCACTTTGGAGGGGAAGACTATTTGGATACAGGCTATCACCATATTGTTTATAATCCAACTCCTGTTATTTCCACCAATCAGAACAGTCATTTTTTTCCTTCTCATTTCATATTAGTGTAAAGCAAACAAGCTTCAGTTGGCAAACAATAATTAAATGGTCAAATAAAGCTGGCATATGAATGAAATCTTACAGTTTCTTTTGCGGCAGACATTGCAAGAAAACCAGCACCCATCTCCACTTCTTGCAAACCAACAACAACAATGCCTACATCTGATACAATGGAACCCAACCATGAGGAAAGTGAATCCTGAGAAGCTCTACCTTGACCGACATTCCATGTACCAATCAAAATTCTGACATTGTGCCGCCTTGAATAAATAAGTTCCTTTGCAGCGAGCTCCGATCTTATCATGTTGTCAACAGGACCAGGAGATGCAATATTCCACCCGCGTATGCCACCATGAGTAGCCAAGCTATAAACATAATCACTACCGACAGCCAATTTAATCACTGGACCATTATGAGCAACCCACGCTGCAATTAAATTGCCTTCTAGGTCCAGTACTTGGATAATACCACTCACATAACCTACATATATCCGTGTTCCAAAAGTGCAGAAACATTGGACAGCACAAGGATGGCAATTAAAATCTTGCATACGGGTCCCACTTCCATCCCATTGCACGAGTAAGCCATTGGTACATCCACTCCAAATCATTCCATCGCCTGTTTGCACAAGAGCTTCTGTTCTTTTAGTATCTTCAACAAATGCCCCAGCTCCCTTGGTTGCAACTCGACGCACAGCATCAGCAGCTCCCATTATAGCATTACGGGAGCGCTGTAGAAAGCTAGTACCCTGGGATTTCTCCTTTTTTGAGGTGGAAACGAACTTGACCTTCATTTCGTCTTCTACTGCTTGATCCTGCTGCTGCACTGATGACATGTCAACTCGATTTTCCACCTGACCATCAATGTTAAATACTTTCAGAAGCTCCTTTGTACGAGCATCCCAGAGTGAAAAGGATAAAGGACCAGCGCACCAGACTCGACCTCTAAGGTGATCACTGAGCAAACACTTGACCTCTTGAGAAGATATGCTGCAGACGCCATTAATGGTGACCTGACTTCGGAGGTCTATGAATGACCTCTCAACGAGTAACGCTGCCATGTGTCGTTCTTCTGGAGACAAGGAAAGAGATTTTTCCACGGATTCCCATGGCCAGATCTTAATTACACCCCCTTCCGAACCTGACCAGAGATCGCCATAGGAACTTATGACCATGGAAAGAACGGGACCTCTGTGAGCCTGCCAAGAAAGACCTTCCTTAAAGGGGGTAGCAAAAAGTTGATCCATTTTCCAAGACCTAATCTTGCCATCTTTGTGGCCACTCCAAACCAACCTATTCCCGTTGTCGACGGTCAAACATAAGGTAGGAGAGGTGTCCGCTGATTCATAAAATGGCGCAGCGTCCTCATCGCCCCTTCTTACCTTTCCACCAAGACCGGTACCAGGTTCGTATGCGTTTTGAAACTCCCACACCCTCACCCCACTTTCCTGACCAGCCCACAATTGTGTTTCGGTACAAGCAATGTTCCTCAGGAATTTGCCCACCTGAGTCTCCCTTAAAGGGTGTGGCCTTAACTCAAGGCATGGAGGTCGCCCCGGATGAACGGACGCTCTAAAAGGAGCCTTAAAGATCCCAGTTCCGCCCCCGCTGCCAATAAATTCCTGCAACGGCTGATATTGACACGAATCACCGCTTTCAATGTACTCATCATCACCACCAGGATTTGTCGAGGATGAGTGCGAAAATATGTCGTCGTCGGAATCGGAGTCGTAAAACGAAGATTCAATGTTATTGGATATACGGCTATCGTCCAGACTATGTTTTCGGACTTGATGGTAGCGTTTGTGTGTGGAGGTACCTCGTAGCTGCTGGCTGTACGAATGGGCTTTGCGGTGAGGTGGAAGAGAGGTCAAGCCGGCCAAAGACTCCTTGTCCTTCTCATCGTCGTCGATTCGATCGTCCATGGTTCACTAACTAGGAGTTGGTTGTTCCAAGTTAAAGAGGGAGGAAGGAGGATTGGTATTGATGTCAACAAATTTGCAGGTGCAGCATAGAGAGGGAAAGAGAAAATGAAGAATGAGGGAAAGGGTCTAAAGGGGTTGCCGAGAGAGAGGGAAGCACGTATGAATTTTGACGAGCGGGAAGTAAGGTGTGTCATACTTGAAGCTTAAGGACAGGAGTCACTCGTTTCCTTTCTTTTCTTAACACATTTGATTTCCCCCATCCACCACTCACCAGAGAATGAATGAATGGGATCATGCAAGGCCCGGAAAAGCTTTGGGAACTACCGGTAAGTATTATAAAATTTTTAAAATTTAAAAATTGATTATAATAGTCTTTTAAGATATATTATAATTGATTGATAAAGGTAATATAAATATAAAATAAAATAAAATATATTTGTAAATATATTTAAATAAGAAGATTGATGTCAAATGTTATTTATTTTATTTATATAAAACACATTTTAACTTACAAAATACTTTAATTAAGTTTTTTTAAATATTAATTATATGATCTTTTTCTTTGAATTTTGTCAAAATTGTTTTATTTATTTTCTTTCTTACTTATCATTCATTTCTTTTCAATTTTTTAAACTTCAACAAAAATATTTTTTTTTAACAAAAATATAATAAAATAATCTTTAATTTTTATAGTTTGATTCTCTTTAAATTTTTCATTTAAAAAAAATTATTTTTTAAATATTATCCACTATCTTTATTAAAACTCTTGTACTTTAATAATTATATAGATTTGAATTCATTAAATTAGTAATTTATCACGTATATTAGAAAATGTGTATGAAAGTTCTAATCTTTCTCTATCAACATAAAATTTATCAATTAGTTTTACAAAAAATAAATAATTATTTTGTTAAAGTTCAAAAAGATGGGTAAGAGAAGAAAAAATATTTTTTTTATCAAAGTGTAAAAGAAAGAAAAAAAATGTGTTGTGGGAACGGAGAGTAAAAGAAAGAAAGAAAATATAATTAAAAAATTATCAAAATATATCAAATTTTGATTGAAGTTTACATGAAAGAAGAAAATAAATTAAAAACTTTTTTAAACAAATAATGTTTAAAGGTTATAGATTTAATGCTCTCTAGAAAGTATAATTAGTGTAGTTGAATCATTGAATTTATTAATTATGAATCTAATAGGTATTAATTATAATTAAACTTTTTTTAGTAGACTTGTTTAAGTGTGTTATCCAATAACTTCTTTTAATATTTAATTTATAATATTTAAACATAAACTATTTATACTTAATATCATAAATAGTTAACAATATGTAACAATATAATCTATTTTTAACCCTTGAAACTGAATATGAATTTAATAAGAGTATAATTAGAAATATCAATGAATCTAAAAGTTCTCTAAACCAATTTTTATTCCTATTTCTTATAGGAGTATTAAAACTAGCTTTTCATGGGCTCCCTCTAATACTTTTATCAACATTAAGGATGAATTTAAAATTTTAATTAGCCTCCCAACAAACCTAACGCTTTAAGTAGACTTAAGATTGCTACACTTACTTACATAAATAAAATTGATTGGTAAACTTTATAACATTAAATATAATTTTATAAACTATGATTTTTTTTCTTTAGAAGTGTAATCAACATCCTAACCCTTCATACCCAACATAGTATAGCTAAAAATAAGAAAAAATTACTTTTATGTTGGGTCATGATCTAATTGCTAATATACAAGTAAATATCAAATCTTTTAGTCCATATATCTGCACAAACCTAAAATTTCTTAATTGTCATACAATGTTTGACACATTAGAGTGTCCATAGTATAAGTGTGATGCCTTGAGTAAAGATTGAAAACACCAAATTTTTATGACGCCTTAAATAATTTGTAGGAAACATATCACAACAAATAAGCTAAATTAGGAATTTAATTTTTTTTAGCACAAGGAAAGCGTCGAATGTAGGTTTAGTTGTATAAGTTCTCTCCAAATTTCTTGACCAAATTCATTAACCTCAACATGACTACCAATTGACAAGTTAGATTAATGAATGACTGAAGTAATTGATATTGGTATCAAAGTGATAATTTAAGAAAAATTTCACATCTATTGGGTTCAAATATCCTTAACATGCAACTCTATAAATGAATGTTGACATAGAAAGTGTAGTCACATAATTTTTTCAATCACGTCTAGTTATAATATCACAATGAAATTTGTTCATTATCAAGTCAAAAAGTAAATTCATCCCTCCTAATATTTGTAGCTTTTTTTACTTGCTTGCCAATAGTACCCTAGAAAATCCCTCAAAGTTCGAGAGTCTAAACAAATTAGAATAATAGTCTAAAATAAGGGTTCTCCACATGTATTATTTTTATTGTAATTTACCAAATTATTTTTCTTTGCATATTTTTCTATAGACAATTGGACCCTAAAGTTTGTCTTTTTTGTTCATTATATCCTAAACTCTTTTACTCAATAAACTCACATTAGGTCTCCTTGTTGTTTTTAAACCAAGTCCACCATCTTAGCTTTTATTAGTGATTATGTCTTAGTTCATCAAATTAATTCTTTTTTCATCATTATTCTTATAAAAAAATTACACATATTTATCAACTGAGTGACAAATTGATTAAGATAGCTAATATAATTATAAATAGTATTTTAAAATTATCATAATAATTAACTTAGTCAAAATTAAATATTTTGCTATTCAAAAGTTTAAATACTTATTAAAAAAATAAAATAAATAATAAAATAAAGATAAACTTTGTTTATTTTTAATCATTAATATGAGCTAAAATATAAGTTTGATATTTTATTAAATTAACATTCAAAAGAGTCACAATACTGAATTAGTCAAAAAATTTTTAATAATTCTGATTTGGAAACATTTATCTTTGATAAATAAAAATATATAATCAACAAAAAAAAATATAGATGATATAGCACCATTTTTTACAAACCTTAACTCAATATCACTAATTACTTTTCACATTACTATACCTTTTATTTTTTTTATATTTTATTCTAAATAAATAATCTAATAATTGTTTTATAAAAATAAATTACCTAACAAAAATCCGTGTAATAGAATGAGTTAGTCTTCCTTGAATAAGTGTAGATGTTGTGATATAATATAAAAGTTTAAAATTATTTTTTAATAATTAAAAATAATTGATGAATCATTATATTTTTTGAAAAATAGTTAATAGACATTCATGTCTATATTTAGAAAAAAAAATAAAAAAATAATACAACAGGTGATATAATGCGACAGAAAAGAGAAGTAAAAGAAAATGAGGTGTGTTTTTATTTTTTTAAAGATAGAATTGTTTATTTTGTTTGTATAAATCAAAAAGCTCAAAAATCACAGGAATAATAAATGGAAGTTTAAAATAGGATATAATTACGTCCATTTTTGGCGTCGGAAATGGAAGTCTCACGGAGCATAACAGGTCAGGGAGTGGGTTTTCTTCTTCCACCCTTTTCATTTCTCTCTCAAGCAACCAAGTTTTTTGTCTATCCATCTCTTTCTTGTTGCTATTTTTGATATATTTATTCTGTTCTGGCTCTTTTATTGTCCATTCCAAACAGATACCAACTAATTCCCTGTCTCAGCTATTCTTTTTTTGAAATTGTTATTTGTTTTGTGCAATTCTGATCAATATGATATTGACATCCCATGATTGGTTATTGTCTCTCCTCATATAGCTGTGCCCCATTGGTTTCTATTTAGGGTTTATTTGGTCAACAACTGTGGGTTATGTTAATGTTTGCATTCATTTGTCGATGGCCAAGATCGAAAGATTTGGATTCCTCTAATCTAATGCGTTATAAATTGTTCTTATTTAATCATATGTGTATCGTGACTGGTAGTAAAACGGAACAGTGCAAGCCAACATTTTATTGTCATTATTCGACATTTTCTCCCATGTTTAGGGTTTTTAATTTTCTATGCTGATAACATTTGGGTTTACTTCTAGATGGTACTTGTGTTTCTTTTTTTAATAACTAAATCCAAAATTATAATAGAAAACGAGGGATTTATTAATTTTGCCTTTCTTTTTAATACTTTTCTTTCATGAATTTGAAAATCAGAGGCTAGAGTTTTCCTATTCAATATCTCTTGTTATTGGAAGAATGGCTGTTCGCTTCACTGGGATTGATAAAGCGAGCATATGCCTGACAGAAGAGAACATGACATCCATATAGTGGAGTGATAGTTTTGTTGTGAACTTGTGATGGATGAAACTGAAGTGGAAAATCCTCTATTCATGGAAGTTAAGTCTGAAGATAACAAAATTGAAATCCAGAGAAATGAAAATCAAGGTTTTGGATCAAAGAAAGGAGAAGGTAGCAGTGTAGTTTTCTCAAGAGAAGCACCACTTTTGAGAAAAGAGTCAAGAATGTCTACTCTTTATTGTTGCAATGCCAAAAAACTCAAATCTCGGGCTGTTACGATAGATTGTGAGCTTGGAAGTAATGAGAAAATTGGGTTGGAGAAGAAACTGTGTAGACAAGACAGGATTGAGTTGGGTCGGTTGTTTCAGGGTGCAGTGAGTTCCCATGACTGGGAACTTGCAGAGAGTTTGATTTTGGTTGCTGATCCACAAACGCTCAATGATGCCTTGTGTATAACACTGGATTCCATCTGGAAACGAAGACTTTCGAGAACAAATATTAAACCGGGAAGAAAAAAGGGGAAAAAGTCAATAAAGTGCGCATATGGCACGAAAAGGAAATCCGATTTCGGGAAAACTCAAGTCTCATTTTTTGGTCAGAATCTCAACATCTTATTGGTGCTTCTCCTACTAACCCTCTCCTATTGTGTCTGTCTGCTGCTTGGATTGGAGTATAAGCCTATCTTTGAAAAAATCCATGCTACTGGGAAGGGCTAAGGGCTATAGGCTTACTCTTTACTCGCTTTCTTGGTTGGGGGGTTCCCCTCATTCTCCTTCTTTGTCTGGTTTCGGGCCTGGGA